GATGGTTCCGACAATAGAGTGACGCTGACATCAAACTTTTGTTCGTGGTGGCCATTTTGTAAAGCGTCTTGGTGAAAAGAATATTTCTTTTTTTCAATAAAGAAAAAACATCCCAAGTCCTCGTGATGGTTAAATATAACAGAAATAGCACAACAAACCTTAGTAATAATGAATCGAGGCAAGTTATCTTACTTGATACCGATAGAGGGCGTGGAAGGGATGGTGAATTACTAGTGAATTACTTATTCACATTTTTTTTTTTTTTTTAAATCGTAGATGATTTATTGCAAAGCACTGCATGGTTTAGTGGATTCAGGGTTAAGGGGAAATCCTGTGTGCATGTTATTTTTATTGTATATTACAATAGTATCAATCTACCTCTGGGACGAGTATGTATACAAACTGTCTATCTTGTAAGTACATAGCGTAAACAGTACCTACACAGTTTACAGGGGATACACACAGCAGACAAGAACCGACCCTTCCCTGTAGTGATCGAAGAACAATATGATTCATTGCAATAGCTACTGAACGTAGTGCCACGAGACAATAACAGCCTAACACGGATATTACGGCCCTCGAGGCTCCTCACAAGCGTTCGGCTAAACACATTGCGATAGACAATGCACTATACACGTGCATCAATCACCCGTCAATCTGGATGTGATCAATGCTAGGTATAGACCTGTATCATTTTAAGTCTTTCACATATAGAGACATCACTTGTCAATATTAATAAGCCAATGTTTTTCTAAGAATACGGCAGGTTTTGACGTGTGAATCTTGAGCTTTGTTTGTGACGTCATTGGAGCTTAGATGATTGATGACGGCGTTTTTGCGCTTTGAAATATGAAAGTGTCATTCGTATTTATTATCAAGAAATCAAAACGTGTTGTTTCTCAAGTGTCATAAAAAGGCAGGGTATATACGGTTTTTATCGTTTCACTAGTAATCATTTTTTTTTTTTAAATTTTGACACATTGAAAGCATTAGCAACAGTGTGACAATAGAGGAAATCCCGCTTCTCAATTTTTATGACAAATATGACAACTTGACTTTGCTTTTACGGTTCACGTATCATGATTTGCTGAATATATGTGTCCTGTTAAATATATCCCGGGTTTTCTACTGGAGGGGTTTTACATGTAATTAACGCTGGGTAAATTTCATAGTCGTCTTCATGGCCTGATTATATGTCTTCAATCATCAACAATGCTTTGTGTTTTATGTCGACAGTGGCCTTTAATATTTTCCCGGATTCGATGTAGATCTTATGACGGGTGTCAAAGGTGGTGCAGGAAACTATTATCCTTCCGGAATATCTTTTTTTCGGTTTTTTTAAAGTTTTGATTCTCTTCTGTCATATTGAATTTGAGTTCATATTTTGTCCTGGTGTGTTGACGCTATGGTATACATTATTTCAATATAACTTTTTCAAACCATATTTTTCCGCGGGTTGAGGATACTATCTGTTTTCAATCATATTAAGGTATGCCTGTATATTGCATATTACTTTCGTAACTAGAGGATATGAACACCTGGTACTTAGTATTCTTGAAATACATGAATAAAGCATTTGGTGTTAGCTTCCTACATGCAGAGTTTCGCCTCAAGATTTATGACAAGGTCAACATTCCTACACAATTGCACGCATGCATGGGTTCAGACTTTTTGTCATTAATCTGTAAAAACATTCATCACATGAGAGTCACGCGCATCTTCTGTACGTGTGACCTTGACATTGATCCTGCGTGATCACTATCGGGGACTGGAGAGAATTCCTGAATCGGAGAACAATGATCTGAGTCTTACAAGCGTTTGTGATGATTGGTGTTTGTGTGGAAAGCGTATGTCAGATATGACACACCTCGCACGTGCATTATCATTCTGGCCCCCAAGGGCATGTATCGGACCTGATAAGTAGGCACGTGGAATGCACGACCGATAGTGGAAACGACAGACGCAGAAATGGGACCCTCGGCTGTCCATGATGATAGTAGTTATTATCAAATCATTAATATCTTCGAGGAGAGTATCGTTATGGAATAGCCACACTCGTGTTCCCTAAAATTATTGTAATGCTATTTATTTTATAATCTAATACAGATCGATATTGTCAATACATAATTTTATGATATTTGCATAAACTCTATTTAGCTCTTATCACACCAAAGGACTTCTGTTTGACCGGAAATATGATTGTCAGAAATAGTTTCCAGAATTGATGGAACTTTATTTTCTCTTTTGACGTTTTATTATCATATTATCATCTCAGCATATATTAAACGTATGGCTTTTTATTCTAAACAATTTTGTATTATTTCGGAATATTTATTTGGCATTTTTTTTCAATCTGTTGAGGTTTTCACCGGATCGAGACATCCTATGATCCGTTCAATCAAATGCAACTAACCTTGTCGTTAGATAGAGTTGGGGTTTCTGTTTAAAGAACTACTACCCCCTCCCCATCACATCCACACCCACACCCATCCCCACCTCCACCACCTCCAAAATTGGTTTCAAAGTAGCCAACATCAACGGTAATATTACATCCCGTGTATGCTAAGTAGGCGTTTATATTTGTCTCATTGTCATTGTTGTATTGATAAAGGAAATTGGTGGCCCTTGTATTCGAGACGTGTCAGCGATGTCGTCAAGTGTCGCCGGGTTTTTGAGAAATGAATTACATTTGTAAAGAAGGGGTAAGAATACGTCACCAAGAAGAATGCCATCTTATCAAGCACCTATCGGATCCAGATGAACAATTTACGAGCGGCGTCTAGACACTGTTTGAAAAGAGGGATCACTTGTGTTTTCATATTCTGACGGCTAAATCTTTAAGGGTCGTAATGGATTACAACATCTTATTTCATAAATTTTATAGGTCAAATTGAAGAAAAAAGGGTTCTCTTGTTCGGTTAGACTCGAGGTCACTCGTTCTGGTTGGAAACCATGGCGGTCGGGTAACGTCTCGAGATGTCACTGAATTCACGTTTGATTTACGTCACTAAAATCCCGCGAGATTTGATATATGTGTGTTTACGATAACAAAACTAGCATTCCTCGACCAAATTGATCAATCAGACAAACCATTATTATCCATCGTAGACAACTTTATCACGGGGCTCTTTCCTTACAACATAATAGATATCGGGCCAGTCAAACCCATGGCCGACTGTGAATTGGTCGTACACAAGCGTCAAGTGACGTTGAACAAGATTTACGTGACATGGTGAGGTCAACTCTTGTCACATACATCAACCAATTTAGTAGACCATGTTGCATTAGTCGGACGTAACTTATCGCGCTTGCGCAATCGATGACACATACAAACATAACCTTTCTTTATGATCACGTATAAAGTTACTCATTTGTTTGTTTTGGTAGGAGAGTCGTGCAGACAGATGAAATCTGGATACTATAATTATTTTTTTTTAGAAAATTCAATTATCGAAATGTTGAATTTGTTATCAAAGAAATTTACTGTAAAAGAAATTAACTCAACAAATATTGAATTACATGACTCAGTGGCACTTATCAAAAACTAAATATATTATTTCTTATTCACTGATACTTATTTCTATGCACGTCAGTTAAGACATGCCTTTTCAAACTTGGACTAAAAAATTCTTACCAAGGGAGATAACTCCTACATCGCTGTAGAATTTATGCCGTGAGAATAAAGGGAAAGAATTGCTATCAGTAGAAAGCACTTGCACCGAGGTGGTGGACATCGATGAACAGATTGTCCAGGTGATCTTCGTTTTTTGTGTAAATAATCAGCTCACTTCAATGCAACACAAAAGAAAATTTGTCTCGTGAGTTTAAATTTAGAAATTACGATCATGCTTTCTGTAACAAACCTTACAAGAGCATTACATGTATGAAATCATTAGCCTGGTTTTGTAATGTGGGGAGTCGGTAAGGGTGTATTGGATAGCGACAAACCCTACATGTGCAAGTATAAGAATAGCAGAACAAGTATTGTAGACCTCCCGCAAACGTCTTGAATAACAAATCGTCAAATTTGTTGTAATTGATGGGGGGTGGTGTCTGTATACGAAATAGATCACGTGAATGGCTACACGTAATGAAGAAATCGACACCTGACTTGTACATTTCTTATGAATGATATGCACCTGACGTTTACGTCACCGTACAACTCACAACACCGTGTACTCGTTTGAACTGTCCGTATGTATTATACGTATCATATTTGGACAGTGTTACAATAATGAGCTCATCTGAATATTACATATGTAATTGTGTTGTTGCTAAGCTTATTATTGATATGAAAATATTAATGTCGCAACAAACCTAATTCTAAAGATGACCTGTTTAAAATCATAATCATACTTTTTCGAGCAATTACACTTTTTTGAGTTAATTTTCAAGTCACGATAATGTATAATTAGATATTATATTAATTTCATATAATTGAAAACAAGGTTAACAACAAGATTACAATGAAATATCCTTTGTCCAATAGAAGCGTTCGTTCTTGAGCCCAGTTTATTTTTGTGACACGTTTTGGTTTTAGGTACATGCAGTGCAAGGGTTTTCGCGTGCATTCCGGTTCCTGCTTGTCCACAAAATCTGCTTTCGTTCCATGTAGTCTGTAATACTTATATCCCGTCAATACTCCAGAAAAATCATTTTCTGACGCCAATGCACAAGGATTGCAAATTGAGTCATCGAATTTACATGATGAATTCAATGAGTACCCAAGAGGGACGTTCCGATTATAGATATCTCTGGCGTAAAGCTCGTGGATTTTATTATGAAGATTATGTTCAACTTGATTAGAATGTATTCCCTATTTATAACCGTAACGGCATTACTTACTGATATGGAGCGATAACCAGTTTTGTTTACACACGTGCTTGCCATCTGTATTAACCTTTACAGAAATTAACAGAGAGCAGGTTGCAAATGTTAATGTCCTCTCGACCTATATTAAGTAAAAATCAAGATTATTGTTTACGTATGTTCAATTTCAGGGGACTTAAAACCATGGAAGCTGACAGAAGGAGGTTCGGAGGAGTTGAAGTGATGAAAACCGGAAACGATCACGTCCAGCGGGCGGAGTAAGGGCCGCCAGGGGGTCTGCATCATAATCACTAAAACGCTTGTTTTTGAAAATATGTAGAAAAAGGTAAGTGAGAGGGGGATTTGGAACAAGTCCGTCAGCTGACAAGTTGATCTGCTGTTTACCTAAGATCAATTTAGCGATATGTGGGCGCTACCTGGTGGCCACTTTTTGTACACGTACATGGGATACCTACTTAAGACCATTAGTGATTAAATGCACATTCATTTCGATGTAGTCTTGAGGAGGCTTATGTAATCGACATGATGCTTGAGGATTGACATATTGTCAATCTGTTGGATTTTTTTTCCAAAATATTTACAAACACTGCAAAATGCTCTTAACTTTACTTGTAGGAGGTACATTATCCGGGTCCTTGAGTTTGAATAATTTGATTTGTATCCAATTTTAAAGATATTTCGTACATTAAAATTTAAAATATAAAAGGGGGGAAATCCAAACAACTTCCGGTGTAATTATTGGATTAGGAGTTAAATGATGAGATATGCTTTGTGACTTAAAAAGAGAGAATGATAATTATAATTCGTGGTTCCTGTCTCAAATTTACTCTCTCATCCTATATTATTTAATATCTTAATATGTATATGAGCAATAACCGATTTCTATGATGAAATGCCGAAATGTATTTCATTTCATTGCTAGTCAAATCACTTTTTCATTCCTTATAAAATCCAAAATGATTTAAGAAACCGTTAACGTTGCTGATATTTAATCTTACGATGAATTAGATTATTCTCGGAGCTTGGAGTTTATTTTGTTGGGACAACTGTGTCTGCTTGCGGCACGCCGGCACTTATTTGAACCGTTTACAGGTAAATCACGTAACTAAATAGTCAAAAACCAACATGGTCTGACCAGCAGAAGAAGAAAGCGTAGAAAATCCGCATTGAAATAAAGTACATTACTCTTAAATAAAACAATATATAGGGTCATTGTTAGCATAGTCGAGATATTCCGCCGAATGAGATTCTTTTATCGCGGAGTTTGTCCAACTAGGATTAGGAATGGAAAGCCTTACTTTAATAGGTCAAATGCCCTGTAATTTAAAAAGTACATGCAAAGTACACTGGATATACCAAGATGGAATTTTAACTGGAAAACACTTTTACGCCTCCGCGTTTTCAAACAGACCGCTGTGCATTACCGGTTACACGAAAAGGTTATTTTTGTGACTGTTTTTCCTGTCGCTGGTATTTCAAGGTCACAGCTAGAGTTCGATACATGTTTAATACTGCAATTGTGTTCAATATGAAATCGACGTGAAATCGACACTGTTCGCAGAACAAAGGGCTCCACGCGCACACATTCCATTCAGACATATAATGTACAGAAACGTGTTTATTTAATTGATTTTTCAGTCATAAGTAACAAACATGAAATGCTCAACTGCTCTAGATGGAAAGGCCGATTATAACTATTTACAACCTAGGCGTATGACACGTGTTTACTGCCAGTGATGTAAACATTTGTTATATATCTATATGTTCAAATCGCGTTCAAACTTTTTAAAGATATTATCAAACAAATATTTGAGAATAAATTTCAAGAATTTAATTCTTCTCTGAACTATGTACCAGGTTTTAATAAACCGGAAAATGATATCAAAAATATATACAAATTTTATGAACTTTCAGAGCCCAAGCAACGCATGTTTCTATTTTTGACAAGTTGCCGTGCAGTAAAGATATATATGACCAAATACTATTGGTATTTGGATAAGCTACACTGAATGACCGGTTAAGGTCACCAACGAGGCACGAATACAAAATTAGTTTGTTTACAAATCTTAAACTCGGAGTCACGATGTATTTGATTATGGCTTCGGCTCAATATACTTGGATTTCGGGAGTACAAATACTTGTGTTGGCTAAGTGCTCGAGTGTATGGTCACCGTATACTATCTTCGACGGTCGGTCTTCTGAATTAGCTCTTGAACATATGTACAAGGACTCTTATCCGGGTCCTTTTCACACGTAATATTGAATAATAAGGGTCGCTTGTAGCATTATTAACTCAATCAATACCGTTTATTACTTGTTACCTGTTTACCAATATTTGCTTTGTTATAAGCGGTCCATGTATAAATGGAAATGTACACCTGACTTCCGTTTTTTTCAGATTACATGTGTCACTAAACGTCACGTTATAGCGAGGGTTGGCTTAGCCTTGGAGAATAGGTAAACCCCGTTATACTTCCATCATTTCTTCTGTGAAATATTGGTATTATAAAGAGATTTATCGATATATACCGAGGGGAACTGATACTTGTTAAGAAAAATGAAAAGGAGCCATTGAAATGTGTTTGCAGAAAGTCAGGTAGAAATTAGAACAAGGGGTAGTACATTCTCTAGCACGAGACACAAAAAACGTCCTATTACGCTACGACCCCACATAACTCGCCGCATTTCAATCATTATGTAAATCACGTCTGCGTTAAATATGTTGTAATCACTATTTATAACTGATGTCTAAAATTCAAACACTATAAATATTTACACAGTAACATAAATATCAAGACAGCATGCATGGGTAGTAACACTTATATGTAGTCAAAAACTCTCCGAGTGCCAGATATTGTCAAACCTGGTAGGTCTATATGGCAAACACAGGGCGCCCAAAGACGCCCAAAACTACCAGGATTGTGACGACTAGAACGTCGATGATAATGGGATATCCACGCTTTCGGGTTGACGATGATAACGTGTACACATACGTCGTTGTCAGTTTCACTCCTTTATTACGGATCTAAACCATAAATCCGGATCGTTTATTAGTCGCGACGTGATCACTGTAGTTTTCATCGCCACTCTTTCGTATCACAGCAGATGTTGTTCGAGGCGAGTGTCCGCACGCGCCATCATAATTGATGCCTTAGATTGGAAATTGTCGGAGCAAGTGCGAGCCAGACTGCCCACAGGTCAGTTCGAGTGACCTTTTGCTGTCGCGTCAAGCCGGCTACTTTGCAATTTGATTCCGCACTCTTCCCATACAACCAAGTATTCGTTTCGGCCTGGTGGGCGGGCAGAATCACGGGACCCTGTCTGTTGTGGAGACTTGTTAATGGTCTATTAAAGATGTATTAATGATCTTTCATAGTCCGATAATTATATAATTCTCGGTCGCTGCACATGACCATCTGCATAAGCTCCTTTTGGGAAAAGCTGTTGATTTTGTTCATTTCCATGATGTCAAACATGTCATGTTGCCTTTCAGTTCTATCGTCAAAGAATGTTAAAGATGGTTGAATGGAACATGAAATTTGAGCAGAAAATCACCAATTAAATTGACATTTCTTGTAACCTTTTTCATAACCATGGTTCTGAGGGGAAAAACTAAACGTCTTTGGTAAATTAAGAACCAATAATACCACTAAATATGAATTTTCACACGTACAAACCTAGTATTTTGTAGACTTATTCCATTCCTGAATGGTTACAAAATCCCATTGTCATTCCGGAACTGTTGCCCGTGTTTATACATGTATCTAAAATTAGAAACCATATATCAGCAATTTTCTTATCTAAAACTGACATTCCCAGTATTAATGGATATTTCAATATAAATTGGTAATAGTAAACTATTTTAACCGATTTCATCGGTTTGTGTATAGCCATAAAATCATTTGCTTAGATAGTAATTAAATTTTATATCTTTATTTTCCCGACTGCGTATCTCAAGTGTTCCAAAGTCTTTCTGCATTACAAGATATATGGACGCCGATCGAATCTCTAAACCAGCGCGATATCGGTGCTCTTGTGGAAAAAGAATTTACGAGTTGTTTCACTCTTCCTTTATGAAATATATGAGCTACTTAAGACTAAGAAAAGCTGACAAATACGTCAAAAGGCACATCTAACCGATAACAATCGGGCATTACACATCACCGGCTTGAAGTCGAGGCTGATCGGCTCTTATTGGGCGAAGAGACTGCAGTAGCATTGTATCTTTGTATCTTATAACGCTAACGTATCGGGTATGAATCATAGCAAATTTATTTTACAATAATATTGATGAAAACATTTTATGTTTTTTGTTTTCTTTCCTCGGAAATGGAATTGCATGCTTGTAGTGGATAGTTGGGAAAGCGATATATCATCTCCGGAACATCGTAACCGCAGGTTTTTTTTGACATCTCCGAGGCCGCCTGTTATCATAGTCACTTTGGTAAATCTTGATTTTTTTATGTGGAATTCAAGGAAATGGGTTTCCTCGTCAATTGGAAGAACATGCATTCGGGTGAATCAGACGAGTAATGTAGGAGGAATCAATCATTTCTGCGCCGTTGACCGTGGATCTCTGAGACTCTCCGGGGAAACTGGATAACGGATTAGAATTGATCAAATGTGCACTATCTTTCCCGGCATGACACTCCATCCCACTCACCTCTGCGTTTTATGTGGTCGGTATATATATATATATATATATGTAAAGCCTCCCCACGAATCAGATGATTAGATCGTCAAACATGTGTTTTACTCGTCAATGTCATCGTTTCAAAGGTTAATTTTCATGATATGCCGATTTCGACAGACCCCCCGCGCTCCGTCAGGGATAGGTAGTTTCGCCTGTATTATTCTAGCAATAACATTCAGGTTCACTTCATCTACGTCAATTTCATTTTTGTCTGAGGAGTGTTAATATATAAATATTAAAACATTGTATTTTACGGGAATGGATTTGTAATTCAATATCTTTTTACACCGAAAAAGTTGAACTGCGATGCCAAACGTTCTTCTTCAAATACAAAACGAGATTTTCCAAAAATATATGAACATCATTAATGTTTGGCATAATATTAGCGGGAAAAAATATAAAAAGATTACTTAAATAACGCTTTTTTAGTTTAAACTGAAGGTAAAATATAATAGAGCAGCGATCTATAAAAAAAAATGAAAAACCGACAAATGTACGATTAGATCCGGATCAAATATTTTACCGTCAAAATCAATGCGAACTGATATTCGTTTTCTGTATGAAATCTAAAAATCATTTGGATGCTATTAATAGAAGAAACATATAGTGATACCTGATATAAAAATACGTCA